ACGCAAGCGACGACGGCCGACGCCCGCCCGCGAGCAGCCGCAAACTTGAGCGGTCGCAAGCGGGGGGAAAGAAAGAAGGAAGCGCTTGGTCGCCAGGGTGGCGCTGACTGACACGTCCCGGGCTCTTCTCTTCAATGCGACACGCTTGTGATTTCTTCTCCTCAATCCTGCTGGTTGTGCTTCCAATTTTGGAAGTGCGGCATCTAACCACGGCCACATTTCTCAATCGTTGGAATTTCACCATCTTCCATCGATCCGGGAGACGGCCGCCTTCAAATTGTTCCGCCCCTTCCGCGTCATTCCGCCCGAGTTCATTCTGCGTTGACACGCCAATGCCGTCGTCTGATTACCGATTGCGAGCGTTTTTCGCCTAAAAATTCCCACGCGTCGCCACCCCGCCAAACTTCAACATTTCATTCGCAAAGTCCACTCCGCAGCATTTGAACGGCGCCTTTGCCAATTCCTCCAGAAATGGCACGGTCTCCCGCAAGGGAACAGATCGCCTCACAATCCAAAAAGCAGAAACGGAAAAGCAGAAAGGAGCAAAGAAAAAAGGGCAAAGGTAGGAGGGAAAGCAGAGAGGGGAAAAAAAAAACACTGCACCAAACCCCGCCAGAAGGGGGAGCGTGTGAGGAAGGTCGGCAAGAAGAAAAGAACATGCAAAAGAAGAACTTCAAGAAGAAGAAGGAGGCAGGGACAGAGAGACGGAAAGACAAAAAGTTGAGTCTTGCATACTCGGGTCTTTCGGTTGGGGTTGCGGTTGGGGTCGCGGTTCCGACGGCTGCGGTTGGCGGCGGCGCTCCGGTTTGCGGGCTCCGCCGCGGACGTTGGTCTTTTTGAAGGCTGCGGCCCCGCCCCCTCGGGCGGCCGGACCTTCCGTCGACAGGCGGGCGTGCGGAGATGCGGGAATGCGGCGGACTGAAATCCATTAGCGCTGATTGGCCCTGAAAGGGTTGGCAGGCATCAAACATTCCAAAGCAAACAGCCACAATTAATCCGGCGCTGGCGCATTAGCGCACTTCATTAGCAGATTTCCGTTCAGGAAGTGCGCTCGCTCGCTCGCCCACGCCGCATTTCGCCGTCCGCTGCGAACCTCGAGACACCGCCGCGCTTCGGTATCCGACTTGCTGATCTCGGATTCCTGCGATGACGCCTGATAGAGAAACGTCGACAAAGGAGGCGTCCGCTCGGCCTCAATGTCCCCGGCCTCCCCTGGGACACGGGTGAGGTTTTGCCCAAGACGGGAGATGAAACTCTTTCTGACAGGGGATTCCGCCAGAGATTCCCAGCAAACCCTCGCAATATATTTGGGCAGGTTGGATCGGAATCTTTCCCCGCCATCGGAGCCAACACGGCGCCGGGCGGTGGTCGGCTGACAGCTCCGCACTTCTCTTCACCCGAGAGTCCAAGGCGTGCGGTGGAAAGGCCGAGGACAGGATCCAAAAAGTCCATCGTGGAACTGCGGTGACCTGGTGTCACATGCACAAACGGACACCCACAAAAGGACAATCCGTGACGAGCACACAAGTCCGGTCACAAAACACCACTCGGTTTCTGATGGGGGTGATGGCCGTTCCGACCGAGCCCACCATTCCAGGTCTCACTGTCTGGCATTGCCCACGTGAGCACTGAAGTCCCTCAGCAGAACGATGGAGTCCCCGGGGGGAGCGCTTTGCGGCACACCCTCCGAGGACGCCAAAAACAGCGGCTACTCCGACCTGCCTGTTGGTGCGTCGGCACCAACGACGGTCAGGACCCGTCTCCCCACCCAAAAGTGGAGGGAGGCTACCCGCTCGTCCACCGGGGTGAACCTCGATGTCCGGGCCAGCAGGAAGTCTGCCAACACCTGTTCTGCGCCTCTCACTGCAGGCTAATCAAGAGCGGAAGTGTCAGCGACCCCTCTCGAGGGGACTGGTTCTAGAGTCTGAGCCGTGTGTGAACTTCTCCGCCTCGTGCACCGGCTTGAGCCATTCCGTGTCCCTTCTAGCTAGCTTCTGCAGCCGGAGATCGGACCGCCCAGCTCACTACGCACCCGACCCCGTTGGCCCCTCCCACGGGTGGCGAGCCCACGGGAAGGGGGACCGACGTTGCCTCATGGATGCAGGCCCGGCCGCCGGGCGCGAGCCTTTGAGGTGCACCTCGAGGCTTGGAGTAGAGTATTAATCCCATTACTCGAAACGCGAACCAGAAATTGAAACCTTAACCCTAGTGTAAAACCCTCACTTGAAAGAAACCCTGAAGCTAGTTTAAAACCGACTTGGAAACCCAAACCCAGGCATGTCTTGCTCCGGGCCTGGAGGGCCGCCGTCCCGCCTGTTTTCTCGCTCTCCCGGGAGCGGCCCGCGAGGGTTAGGGCCTAACCCGAGTGGGGAGGAAAAAAAAAAAACAAAACCCCACTTTCAAACGCTGACCGAGTTTCAGACCCTCATTTGAAATTTGAACCAACTTTGAAACCCGAAGCCGTCGGTGTCAAACTCAGGTCCTGGACGGCCGCCGTCCTGCATGTTTTCCAAGTCTCCCTGTTGCAACACGCCTGATTCAAATGAACAGGTTCAAGATCAGAGCTTGCTGGTGATCTGCTCATTTGAATCGGGTGTGTTGCAACAGGGAGACTTGGAAAACATGCAGGACGGCGGCCCGTCCAGGACCGGCGTTCGACTAAGCCTTCAACTTTGCCGTGTTCCATTCCGGCCGGGGCCACTTTGGCTGCTTTGCTTTTCATCCATTTTGCCAGAGTTTAAAATATTCACATCTCGTGTCGATTGTTTTTAGTCGGTCCGTCCATTTCACCTTTTGGGACCAATCTTGCGCTGCGACGAACATGACGTGAACATCAATGGCAAAGCCTGGAAGAACTGCGGGGCATTCTTTTCACCGACTATTCACATGCTTAGAATGCGACGGAGCAATTGTGTCCGGGTGACGGGGGGTGATGGGGGGTCAGCGTGAGTTGCGCAGCGCGAATGACGTTACGGGTGGAGCGCCGACGTCCGGCGGTCGCACGCATTCCTCGAGCGGCCTTGCCGTCGCTAACGGCGTACATGTTGACGTTGTGGTTAATGTTTGAAGGCAGCCCGTTCGTTGATGGATCCTGTCTCATCAGCCCCCCCAACCCTCGTCCCCGCGCGCTCGTGAGCGAGTCCTGACGGCAGCCCGTTGCCAGGGTGACAAATTAACGCGCCGTTGTCGCCAAGGAGCCGCTCGCCGCGGGCACGACTGCACGCTGATGACATCGCACTGCGAGTCGAGCTTTCCTTCAGCCCGAGAGCGCGATTCTGAGAACTCGGCGCTCCAGGAACGTGAGCTTGAATGGCGACCTTTGCTTAAGCTTTGATTGAGTGATCGATTGATTGAATGATTGGTTGACTGACGGACTCGGTGATTTCCATTCAACGCGAGTCAATCGCGTACAATTGTTTTCCCAGACACCGGCTATCATTGATCTGATTATTATGAGCGTTGTTTTTGTCAATGAGATCAGAGCGCTGCAGGTGGCACCGAAGGCGGTCAACAAGAGTCGCTTTGGCAAACACTGAACAATGGTTACAAAAAGAGGCTTCAAAGGTTTCGTGCCATACCCAGCGGAAGTTTACTCGACAACCAAACACAAAAGCAAGACCGTTACACTTTGGGTCATTACGAGCAAACTGCGCTGCCCTAAGAACAGCGCGCTAGCGTAACGCTAACGTAGAATGGAAAATGTCATTGACATGCTAACAGTCGGCATCCCGCGTTGCGCTCTTAGATGCTTTGAAGCGACGGATCTTCAAACAAACACGTGGGCAGCTATCGCCGTGGTCGCAGACACATCTTCTTTATCCTCTCTGCAAAAGGCCAAATGCCAAGCATCTGTCCGAGTCACCTCGAGAAGCAACGTGACAAGTGGCCGCCAGCTTTGGGAAATTTTCTCTAAAACGCCGAACGAGCCCTTCAAAAACACCCGTCAAATCCTCCGTGACAGATCAAATCACATCGTTTGCGAAGCGTCAAACGTCGTTTGGATGCGTCCTGGAATTTTGGCCCACGCGGTGTTGTTGGCGGCCGTGTGCGACTGAAACTTGTCAGCCAATCGGAGAAGGCTTTCCCCGAGCAGCCGGCGAAACCAAAGGGCCCGGGAGACAAGCGGGCAAACGACCGTGTTAGACTGCTACGCTCCAATTTTTGAGCAGAGATCATACAACGAGCTTCCCCCAAAACGGTCCCTTTCTTCATTTCTCCCGAAGCCACCGTCTCGCTTTACAAGATTTTGGCGCATTGCACCCAGGTTGCCCATTTCGGACAAATCTTGTCACGTTGCTACTTGGAGTGATAGGGAGTGGAGAGACAAGAATGATCGCCAAGGCGGGCGGCCCCGTTCGCAATCATTCTCTCACCCTTCCGATCAGAAGCAGCATTTTGGCACAGTGCCATTTTGGGGCACGTCCATTCATTTCGACGCGGCAAAAGGCTTTGCGATAGGAGCGCTCTGCGTTACGAATGGGAATGATTTCAAGTCGTAGCTCAAGGCACCGCTGTTGTTGGACTCTGCAGTTTTGGTGCAGCTCAGGGTGTTGCGGGTAAGGATGGTGGCGTGTTGGTCACGCCGATGTCACTTGTGTCCATGACGGCGTCTGCATCTGTGTTTGTTGTTGTTGTTGTTGTGGGCAGCGTGGGCGGCGCAGGGGGTTTCACAGGCGCTTGGAGCAAACTCTGCAACGGCTGATCAAATTTTCCGGCAGGTCCCCGGCTTCGCTTCGAGGCTCGGGTTTGCTGGAAATCAAGTGGAAAGGGTTTCAGGACGAGGTTTTCATGCGCCCGGCCGTGCGAGCGAGCGAGCGAGCACCTGAACATGTGACGCGGGTCCAGCGCGGCCAGCCAGTACGAGTACGAGTCGGTGTAGAAGTTGCACGTCCCTCTGCCGTGACACTCGATGAAGGGAATCTTGCGGAAGTTCTCCAGGCACGATCCGGGCGACGACAGCGGCTGACCCGAACCCTCCGCCCCCACTCCCGTTTCCTGAACGCCGAGCAAAAACTGGCTGCTCAGCACTTGGACAACTTCCGAGGCTCACCTTCACTGTGGCCCGGTACACACGTCGAGACACCTGTCCTGATTTGGCCCTCTCCCGACCAAGGATGTCAAAGTCACGGATGCGCTCGAAGATAACGGTCCAATAAGAAGATCCCGTGGACTGAAGTGGATTTGTCGCAACACTCGGGTACAAAACAGGCTAGGCTGACAGTCCGTTAAAGCGACAACATTGCCGAGCAAAAAATCATCCACCTGACCGAGTGAGTTTGTGGACCGTGACGAGAACGGAATGAAGCTATTTCGAGGAGCGACCCGGCCGAGCAACAAGGAAGCGGACGGAAATCAAAGACACGTCCCGAGCCAAAGTGTTTTTTCGTCGAAAAGTGGGTCCTCCAGACGGCAGCGAGCGTTTTCCGAAGAAGACGAAACGCTCGGCGAACATCGACGCTGGCACTCTGCGTTGACACACCGCTCCCAACACGAGCGAAAGCGGATCGTCATCGTCACCTTGCGGGCTCTGTCACTGACAAGCGGTCGTCGAAGCTTTGAAACATCCTTCTGTGTGCAGCGGGCCAAAACAGGGCAAAGGTGGTGAAAAGCCGCAGAGCGAACAGTGGCCCGCGGCCAGTGAGGCGAGAGAGGAGCCGCGAACCCCGCTCAAGCTTCCCGCGGGAACTCACCATCACGAAGGAGAATCCCGACCACAGAGAGTCCCAACCCGAAGGACACTCGGGAAGCAAACGCGTCTGACTGTGGACCGTCATCACGTTGGCCGGCGACTCGCACACGCTGCACCTGAAACCCACACAGGCCTTACACCGTGCGTCGCGCACAGAACGCATACCGAGCCCACGTGCACATACGGACAGGATGTCGCGCACCCTACAGACACGTCACGCATGATACACGCGCTATGCATCTCGCGCGCAGAATCTGGACCTTCCGTGCGTTCTTACCGGCTGATGTAATTCTTCAGGAGCGGTCCCGAGATGAAGGGCATGGTGCTGACTCCAGATTGGTCGGTGGACAGCCAATAGGAGTAGTCGTTGCGCGCGGCGTAGCGGCAGGTGCTGTCCGTGTTACAGAAGAGGAACGGCATGGTGGTGAAACGTGGGAGGCAGCTGCCCAGAGCTCCTGAAAACACGGCCAAAGGCCCGTCAATGGCGGCGCATACTCTCCAGACACGACGTGGAGATAGATCCACGCCGTTTCAGGGGAGCCACAACAACTGGATGTCCTGAACAAGAAAACGCTGCAACAAGCCGAAACGTTTTTTGGTTTTTTTTTTCCCTTTCCCTTTGCGACCTGAATTCCAAGTGTGAGGCCGCCACAGAAGAGCGTGGGGTGTTTGCGGGTGTAGCGCCACGTACCCAAGTCCTGGCCGTGAGCTCGGTTGTTCCCGTTGATGAAGAGCAAAGAGAAGCCGCTGTACACCTTGACGGATCCGGGGGGGCATTCCGGTACTTGAACATTCTGACTGTGCCGGCTGAACAGGAAGCCGTCTTTCTCGGGGGTGTCCACACACAAACCCGGGGGACCCCGCGCACCCTTTGCACCTGTGGAACCTGGTGGACCCGTCACACCTGCAACACGACATTACTTGATGCCCGGGCAGTTCTGGTGCCGCGCTGTTACACTGCAGTTCGGATGGCATCCCCAGGCGGTTTTGGTATGGCTCTGAGGTGGTTCTGGTATGGTTCTGGTACGGTTCCAAGTGATTTCTGATGTCTTTCTGGTGCGGTTCATCTGTGATCTATTGTTGACCTCATGTTTTCTCTGATGTCATTTTGTTGCAATTCTGGTGCGGTTCTGGTATTTGTCCATTTTTGTGCCAAAGTGGTTCTGGTGTCTTTCTGATGGAATTTTTGTGAATTCTGGTGCAGTTTTGGTCTCGTTTCAATGTGTTTCCAGAGTGTTTTGGTTCCCGGTGTTACTCTGATGTGCTGCTGATGTCGATCTGGTGTTGTTCCCCTGTGGTTCTGACGTGGTTCGAGTACAGCTATGGTGTGGTTCTCTCTGACGGAGCTCACGTTCTCGAGAGCTCATCCCTGATTTTCCTATTGACATGAACAGATGAACCACAGGAAGACCATGGACTGTCTCCTACCTTTTAGTCCGGGGTCTCCTCTGTCTCCAGTGTCCCCTTTCAGTCCTGCAAATCCGGGCCCACCTGTCCATCCAGCACCACCCCGATCACCTTTTGGACCTTCAAGTGTCACAAAGAATCGCAGGTTGGCTTATTAGGACATCCCAAAGTGTGAAGTGGTTCTTCATCAAACTGCTGAAATGAGTCACCTGGATCTCCGGTTCTCCCTTGCCTTCCTGGGGTCCCTGGTTGTCCTGGCAGTCCCTGATCTCCAGGCAACCCTTGGTCTCCCGCTAGGACCACCACCTCCCTGGACACGTCCTTACCCCTCTGCCCTGTAAGGGCGGTATTCAGCAGTGTGGTCACAAGTACAGTGACACCTTGACTGGTTGGTTTAATTTGTTCCGTGACCAAGCTCGTGACGCCACTCTCTCTGCATACCTTGAATTACAAGTGCCCCAACTAATGAGTTGCCCCCCCCCCCCACGCTTAACAACACATCAAGGGATGTAAAACGTATGACGTGGGCTGAACAGAATGTCACAAAGTGGCCGTACCTCGTCTCCCCGTAGGTCCTGCAGGCCCAGGAGAACCTTTGATGCCCGCTGGACCATCGTCACCTCTCATGCCTTAAAATTCATAAAAGTCACCAAATGGGACTCCCTTCTCACACTTGAGCCAGCACAGCCCAGGACAACACGTGGCGGTCTTACCGACAGGTCCGGTTACCCCGGTATCCCCCATGAAGCCTTTGCGTCCCGGTGCTCCCAGCACTCCATCTCGACCCTGAACACATTCCGTTCAGATCTTTTCAACACACACACAAGCGCATCTGCATCCGAGTTTCTATGAGGAGATTGAACGCATACTGACCGGCATGCCTGGCAGGCCAGGATCACCTCGGCAGCCAGGGCTTCCTGCGTTACCTGTTGCCCCTTTAGACCCCTTCTCTCCTTTAAGACCAGAACCTGGGGAGCCGGGGGGCCCTCGACACCCCGGTGGACCTACAAACAAAGAGGAAAATCACAATCACACAAAAATGAACAATCTACTCAAACGATTCAATCACCTCTTGGTCCCCGTTCTCCTGGCAGTCCTTTTCCTCCTTTTTCTCCTTCAGTGCAGGGTCCCTGCCTGCCACGAACACCAGGAAGTCCAGGGAGCCCAGGTGGACCAGGGCAACCTGGATTTCCTTCAGGACCCGAAGGTCCTGGCTGGCCACAAGTACCAGGAGGACCCTTTTCTCCAACACAGCCTGGAGGCAAATATGACTTTTTTTTTTCTTCCCAATGAAAAACAAACACATTCCAAACTCACCCGGTGGACCTTTTGCCCCATCTGCTCCCCTGGCTCCGATTCCAGGTTCTGAAGAAAGAAGAAACCTCAGGTCAGGTGAGATCCTTTAAAACAAGGGGTAATCTGAGTCCTTTCACCTCCCATGGCTCCTTTTTCTCCAGAAGGTCCTGGTATGCCATCTTGTCCCTGGTTTCCTCTGGGACCAGATGGACCAGGATTTCCAGGGGCTCCCTTGTTACCTGAAATGGAGACACAGTTGTCATGTTGTCACTGGTTCGACTTTTATACAAAAGCTAACGTCCCACTAAAACTGAGGCACCTGTCAGGCCACTAGGTCCTGGAGGTCCGCTGACACCCGGAGGTCCATCACAAGCTTTCTCACCAGGAGAACCCGGAGGACCTGACACAGAGACAATATTTTCCGCCCGGACTTCCAGGGGAACCAGAAGAACCCGCACATAATGACTGAATCAAAAGTGAGACCTCTGCAACCAGGTGGTCCAGCATTTCCTTTAGGGCCACAGGGACCACGATCTCCTGGAGGACCAAAGTCTCCTCTGTCTCCTGGCACCCCCTTTGGACCTGTTGTACCTGCACAAGCTGACTGCCCCTGGAAAAAGAGATGGAAAAGTAGAAGCCTTGGTGCCGGAGCCGAGACTATGCCGATCTTCTGCTCACAAACATCTACTCCGAAAAGTTCATGTGATTGAGGATAACATAAGATGACAAGATGGATTTGATTGGCAGCTGGACATTGGACTTTTGACAATGAAATAAGTTCGATTTTCGTTGCCTTTTCCAACTGATTTATTTGGAAGTCACTTGTAACTCGAAAAATCATTTCCTTTTAGCAAAGGAAAATGCTCAACCTTTTCTCCAGGATATCCTTTGAATCCAGGTCCAGGTAAACTGGGCTCCCCTTTTGCCCCTTTGAGTCCCCCCGGTCCTTCTAATCCATCAAAACCGGGTTCTCCACAGGGCCCCGTGGAACCTTTTCCACCTTTGCAACCTGGAGACAAGATGCAGCCGTCCAAAGTCCGGACAATTTCCGATTGCCGATCATGTTTGTCATGAAGTCAAATGACTGACCTGGTTTTCCAAGGTCCCCTGGGTTCCCAAGGAGACCGCAAGAACCAGGAGGACCTGTCTGTCCATCTCTGCCTGCTTCTCCAGGGGGTCCTTAGAAACAAACACATGTATTTTTTTCCTCAAGCCAAATGATAAATGTGATGATAATTGCTAATTATTGATTTATTTCATGGCCGCTTCAATGATTGTTGGCTGTCTTTCAGCTTGAATTCTTCACACCCTACCCTACCAAGCATGAGGGGAAAAAGTGACTTGACATTGGAAGAAAAACACCTTGAGGTCCAGCTCTTCCTGGTCTGCCACTGGCGCCGTCGAGACCCGGAGGCCCTGGGGTACCTTCATTGCCTTTAGCACCAGTCAGACCGAGAGGTCCTAAGGATAAAGAAACTGGTGAGAATATCCAGGATTTTGTAGAGGTGCTAACACTGCAGATGGACTGATCATTCACAGAACACCACAAGAATAAAGACCATCACGACATGGCTGGAGGCAAACTGTATCTACGGCAAAACTTGTGTTTGGGGTGGTGGCCGCCACATCGCCCAGAATGTTCTTGGTTGTTTTGTTTGTTTGTTTGTTTGTTTTCAATTATCTTGACAAAATCCAAATGAATGCAGCGGAACCTGTGAGTGAGGAGATTAAAGGGAGGGAACGGTGCCAACGATCGTGAAGAGAAGATCGCAAGACTGTCTGATGGCAGAGTAGTTCAAGTATGGCATTATGGGCATTCGTTATTCAGTCTTGTTCTTAACATCATGATGAGTTCACTTTCAATTTCTGGCTGGCTGAGTAGACGACAGAATGCGAACCATAATTGTTCGTCCAAATAAGTGACATGGATCATTTCCACAGCACACTAATGTGCCACGACACACTGGTTGAGAATCACTGGAAGAGAAGAGAATAGAATACCATTCTCTCCTGGATCTCCAGGGTCTCCAAACATCTCCACAGTGGTCTGCGTTCCCTTTGGTCCCATCTCCCCTCTGTCCCCCGGAGGCCCGGGTGGCCCCTGGGAACCTGTGGCACCGCTGGCACCATTCTCGCCTGAGCCAAGAGCCGCAAATTGATCGTGATTTGAAGACAGACGGATAAGATGATTTGTAATGACTCTATGTCACCTTTTGGCCCAGTAATTCCAGGCTTTCCTGGTTTCCCGAGGTCCCCTGGACTCCCACGGGGGCCTGGGGGACCAGAGTCTCCCCTTATACCTGACACACAAAAACAAACACGACTCAGTGTTGGAATGGACAACCGTTGCATCTTATTTCGGTGTGTTCCTGTGCCTTGAATAGGGAATGGTCAATGTCCTCTCCTGATGGGTAACAGACTGACCAAGTGGGCAAGACTGTGACCCTCCTCCATACCTGGACGTCCTGGCTGGCCAGTGGTCCCAGTCTGTCCCTTCATACCGTTGCTTCCCTGCAGACCTGGAGTTCCATCGAACCCAGGGACGCCAAACGGTCCCTGCGACCCAATAGCTCCCATGCCTGGCAGCCCAGGATCACCCTTTTCACCCTTGACACCCCGGCCTCCTGCAGAACAAGACACATCTCACACTCAAGAGCTCTCAAAAGTAACGTTAATGGATTTTATACCCGAGAAGCCAATGACTCCTATTGGCCCGGGCTGTCCTGCAGGTCCAGATGCTCCGAGAAAGCAAGGTCCAAAGGGGCCAGGTGGTCCGGGAAGCCCATCTCGACCCCGGGAACCTGAAACACATACAGTATGCATGAGGCCCTGAGTCCAGTGAGGAAAAAAAATCCCAGTGGGTTCCCAAAGGCTGGAAGTGTCACATACAGGGTGTACCCCGCCTACTGTCCGAAGTCAGCAGGGATAGGCTTCAGCACATCCTCGTGAGCATAAGCGGATCAGATAATGAATCAATGGATGGAGAGAGTTCCCAGGATATTATCAAGTTAAGTGAGATTTGAAATCGATGGTACCGCGAAGTTAGCACAGGTTTTTAAATTGGGAAACTGTAATCGAGTTTGAATTGATTTAGATAGTTTCCATTGTCAACCGATGCCGATATTCATCCGTCCCGAGTCCACTGGACTTCCATGCGGTCAAAACCTGATGTTGTCATTGTGTGAGTGTGCACATATGTTATTTCATGCAGTCACTCAAAAGCAAACCAAAGTATTTGAACAGGGCATGGCATGGGCACTAATGGAGCCTCCACTCATGAAGAGTAAACAAAAAGCCAGGAGTGAGAATAAGACTGGAAGCATTTGGCAAAAGGGAGCAGCGCATCTCAGCTTCATCCCACCTTTGGGCCCCGGTGCTCCATCTTGTCCTGTGGAACCCGGAAGCCCAACAGATCCTTGGGGCCCTTCAGACCCCGGTGCTCCCACAGAGCCATCCTCTCCTTGGGGACCCATTTGGCCCTGCCGGCCCGGGAAACCAAAACCAGCACTGCCCTGTTACGGCAAGATCCACACATGATGAGTTGAGCGATCGGGGCTGGGATTTCTTACGCCGAGTGACTTCATGTCACCTTGAAGCCGGGTCTTCCCGGTGGTCCCGATGGTCCTGGGCGGCCCTTACTCCCATAACTTGGAACACCCGGAGCTCCCGCCAGGCCCTTGGATCCTGAGACAAGAATCCACACACTTGAGTCCAATCAGGAATCAAAGGCTTCTAAAATCTCACCTTTGACTCCTGGAAAGCCTAGATGACCCTGGACAGTAAATCCTTTTTGTCCTCTCTCTCCCTTGAGACCGACCGATCCCAGAGTTCCAGGACGTCCTATCACCCCTGGGTTCAGCAGAAGAAAAGGAAGAAGAAGAAGAAGAAGAAGACTTGATTGGAAACTCTGATGTTCTCAGACACTCATGTTGAAATTGTCTGGGTCCATTTTGAAGTTGGCAAATCAAATGTCGGCCTCACCCTCTGAACCAGGATTGCCAGATGAACCCTTCACTCCTTTCTGGCCGGGATCTCCCGGGCTGCTTCTGATTTTGCCAGCTGAACCTTTTTCTCCTGAAACACATAGTTTGGACTTGGAGATTCAGCCTTCGGTCCTCTAGTCACACCTGGCCAGTCATACCTGGTATACCGGGCTCTCCCGGCTGGCCCAAAACTCCCACATTCCCTGGTGGTCCTGGTGGTCCAGGAGCTCCGATGCCTGGAGCCCCTGGTGGCCCCATTTGTCCTGGTGGCCCTCTGTAACCAGTCAACCCAACAGGACCCCTGAAACCTTTGGTACCTTGTCCCTACAGACAAAGGATGAAATCATGTGCCCCACATCATCACCCGATGTAGAACCCTGAACAGTCTCGGTTTTAATCCATTCTTTGAGCACATTAAGTGTTCTTGTGCACATTCCCGATTCACAACGAATGGATGATTCACCTACATTTGCTGATCTTTTTGTTTTTTTTGTTTGTTTGTTTGTAAAGGGATTTTTCGTCCATTTGTGAAAGCTGCCATGCATCTGATGGGCTGTAATTTGGGATGTCGCCACATCATGCTATGGCAGTTCATATTTTGAATCTCCGCAAAACCAGTGGGCGAGACTCGCCTCCGGTGAAGTGTTATGAAAGAACCCCAAATGCAAGTGCACTGTGCAGTGGAGGCTTGACCCCGCCCGTATCCCCCTCCAATTGATTGCCGCCTGCCGTAATGGAAATGCAACGGAGGCCAGGATGCCAAGTGCGTGCAGTACAGTGTATGGTTGAGTCTCCCTATAACCTGTAACAGGGAGGGTTTTTTTTTTTTCCCAGATCTGATACTCACAGGGTTTCCCTTGGGCCCCGGACTGCCTTTGGGCCCTGCGATTCCGGGAACTCCATCTGTCCCCTCAAGGCCCAGCGCTCCAAAGTCTCCTGGGTCCCCAACTTCACCCTTCTGCCCAAACCTCCTCATGATGCCAGGGTCCCCCGTTAGACCAGAGTCTCCTGGCGGTCCTGGGATACCAAAGAGGCCCTGCAGAGCCAGAGGGGAACACAACTCTTTGGCTGGCTGTATTCCAGTCTTGGGGTGTGATTGTGGATTTCTAAGGATCCAACAAATTGAAGAGGATTTGGTTTAAAAGCAGGCTAAGGCTGAACTGAACTCACCAGTGGGCCAGGTGCTCCAGCCATACCTTTCTGACCTCTTTCGCCTTTGGACCCCGGAGCCCCAGTTGCACCTGGGCCACCAAAGAACACGACCAAATGTCTTCTATTTGCTTGTGAGTATTTACAGTGGTACCTTGACTTACGAGGGCCTTGCGATTGGCCGGAGGCCAGTTCAGGATCTAGTCTGTCTCTCTCCCAGCGTAAGTTGCTGCGGAGAATGTTTGTGTTTTTTAAGAAAAGGATCAAGACCTAACTTTGTAATTTAGCTTTTAACTATGACCTACTTGCACTGGCATCCGTTCATTTTGCATTGTATCTCATTCACTCAATGTTGTTGGCCTGCGGCCACGACTCACATTCCTGTCCTGGTGCGGACGGCTCCTTGGGATGGTCACCTGGAGGCTCTGTGCCAAGCCTCAACTTTGTGTTTGGTGTTTGTTTGCCACTCAAGGAAAGCACTTTGAGTTGCATATTTTTGGATGAAAAACTGCAACGTATAAAAATTTTTTTGATTGATTGACCACAGATGTGCAATTGTGTCGCCTCAGCATTTTTTATGATGTGTCAACTGATCCCAAGCTTTGGACGTTCTGTCTTCTAGAACCCCCCGGCTCGCGCTTTTTGCGAGGCAGGAGGAAGGATACGGTGACATGACTCTATCATGATCGTTGAAAACAGTTACGAACTTGGAACAAGTTCAACTCATAAGTCAAGGTATGACTATATTTTTGATATGTACGATGATAATTTATTTTATTATTATTATTTTTTTTTTTACCTTTGAGCCCATCTGCACCTGGTTCCCCCGGTTGGCCCGGTGATCCAGGCGGACAGACCAAGCACGGCTCCCCCTTCTGACCTGACAAGCAAACGATACCCACCTCATGTTGAATTCTCTCTTTTGTTGTCATGTGCGCTCACCTTCCGGCCCTTCCCGGCCTCTGGTCCCTGGGGGTCCGCTCAGGCCTTTGGGACCTTTGGCACCGGGGGATCCGACCGCGCCTTGCAGGAAGTCTGATCGTGTCGCAAGTTTGAGCGTTAGTCTCTTATTTGCACTTCTGTCAAAATCGCTAAGCTGGCCAGTATCCAAGTCAGACCAGTCGCAATTGAAATACTGTATGCGGCGGTACGTCGACTTTCATTCTTTCCACGACGGAGCTCGTAACTCATCTCGCTCACATATCATATCCGTTTTCTCCATTGAAATGAAGAGAAATGCCATGAAAGCAACACGCCACGGAACATTCATTTTCCTTCATTCATTTAGGCCCTGTGTATTAACAGCAGCAAATATCCACGGCATCTGATTCCCTGAAAAAAAGTCGCAGCCCAATAAGTATGAAAATCATGACGTGCCCTGCGCAGTGCCATCTTGGCCATTTTTGAGCGGTACCCTTCCGGAGGAAGATTACCATACGAATAATCATATAGTAATCTTCCTCCGTCCCTGTCTGTCCTCATCCTTTTCCGCCCCCCAGAAAAAAAAGCGTCCGTGCATGACTCTGTGGGAAAGAGGGGCAATTTCTACAGACCCTACCCTACTACCCTACAGACGAGACAGCACTTACTTTGTTCCCGCCCCGCCCCGCCCCCCC